TGTTTAGTCTTTACTGAGCCATCTTTTGGCTGTATCTTCAGGGAACTGGTCAGCACTGTCTAATGCCATGACGATTGAGCTGTCAAGCCAAAGTGACCAACGTTGTTTCAAAATCATTCCTTTCACTCTGTGTGGTCTTCATGTAACTTTGCCAAAGATGCATCGGTCTTTCAAGGCCTCAAGGAGTGCAATGCAGCAGAAGAAATAGTCAAAAACACGTCATGGTTTTTGGGCTTTCTGTCATCACAACACTATATCTCCAGCCAATCTCAAATCAGTGCTGTGATCCCTGGTATGCTTCAGATTTGTACACATAAGTTGAGGACTCTGCCCTAAATAACACGTTCACTAGCCAGGGTTTTTTTTTATTTTTATTGTTTGATTTAATTTAATTGTAAATTTGATTTCGAATTTTTCTTTTTCCTAAATATTAGTACTGCTTTTATTTGGAAAAAATGCATTGTTTTAGATAACCTTTCCTACCTGTCTTGGATGCTGTGCAGCTGGATTGTTTTTTTTACCAGTACTATATTTGGCTCTTTTGTTATGATGCTTAACCATAGCAGTAGGATGGTTTACATTGGGGAGCAGCTGATTAACATTGAAAATGCAGAAATATTACAACTGAAGCCTGAAATCCCAGAAGACTTGAAAGAAAGACGTTGTGGATGAAGGGCAGAAGCAAAGAGGTGAGAAGAGGTGAAAACTCAAACCATTTCTGCTATCCATCATAATGGGCAACGTGAGATGGTTATCTAGCAAGTTGGATTTGAGCTTCAAATCTCCTTTTCTCATTATCAAGGAAAGGAACTGTCTGGCGAAAAATTACCCTGTGATGGCTCAAGAATATAGCAGTTGTATAGTGACGCAGAATTCATCTGTCATTGCACAACATTTTGTGCCTTTAATTAGCCTGTCTCTGGTTGTGAATAGTGTTGTACTGATTATCCATCCATCCATCCATTATCGTTACTGCTTATTCCCTAATGGGGTTGTGGGGAGAACTGGAGCCTATCCCATTGATCAATGGGCGAGAGGCAGGGTACACCCTGGACAGTCCATCCCAGGGCCACACACAATACATACAAGTAGAAACAACCACGCACACTCACATTCACTCCCACTCACAATTTGTAATGTCCAATCAACCTAACATGCAGGTTTTTGGACTGTGGGCGGAAGCCGGAGAACCCACGCAGACACAGGGAGAACATGCAAACTCCACACAGAAAGGTCCTGGGTCCCCTGGGACTCAAACCCACAACCTTTTTGCCGTGGGGCGACGGTGCTAACCACCACACCACCGTCCCGCCCTGTACTGACTATGTGAAGTATTTTTATATGGTAAATATGTGCCTAGTTTAAACTTAATTTATGTTCAATGGAGTATACACTTATGCAGCAGTAGACTAGTACATTATGCTTTTGCTAGAATTAATAAAACCTGGAATACTGCAGCAAACTTTCTGTAATGACTAAAACACCAGGACAAAGCTCCTGTCTGCTGATCTAGATCTTTAATGAAGATATTTCATATTATCTCTTGACACGTCAGATTTCATCTTCAGTTACCACATCTGACAATCCGTCCACTCAGGTTCACATAGCAGTGTGTATCTTCCTCTTGGTGCAAGAGAAAACAACCACAGTGTTTATCTGGCTCAAATTAAAGAACTTTCAATAACTCAATAGAGCTATTAAAATTGAAATCATTTATGAAAAAAATGCAGAGTTCTCTGTAAATGCTGGTCTCAACTTCACAAAATCGTTTTAACTTAATATTTTCAAAAAGAAAAACCATCTAACTCCACCTATAGATTTCGTCACAGAAATGCTAATTCAACAGAATGTCCATAAACAAGATGCAAACTTTGTCGTACATTGGTTTACTTTGCTAAACAAATAGGATAAACAAAGCAAGTTTGCCTGACACCAATGCCTGGACTTGTTTACTCAAGGAGTGACATTACAAATTCAAGTCAGCCTGTACAGTCACATTTATTCCAGCAAATACAAGTTAAAACTATTTTTATTTTCCAACTATTCTAACACTTGAGGTAAAAAAGTGCAAGTTCTGGCCTCACAAAGATGTTTACCTTCTTCGTCTTGTTTGAACCTATGTATTAATGCTATATTCATTTAATTTCAATACATAAGCAAAAGTCAAATGACACTTCAATAATGCTACCTAATAAGTTGTGCATTTTCTTCTTTGATCTACTGTAATTTCTTTATTACCTACTTTATTGTTGAACATTTTAAATTCCTTTTATCTTTTAAATGCTTTTCGCAACAATAAATCAGTTCATGTAAGGTTTAATGAAAACAAAAGAATCTTAAAATCTTCCTTTTGTACATAATTCAGTTTAGATTTATAGTCACAGTCAGACCACAGAACATATGATCACTTTGCTTCAGACAACTTTGAATACACTTTGAGAATGTCAGCACTGTACAAGGATCATGTGCATACCTGCTCTTCTTGCATGGAAGAGTAATATTAATTTGTCAGTGCCACAGTGAAGTGTGATTTGAAGTACAAGCTGTAATTTCTATTAAAGTATAATGTTAATTTTTTAAGGCAGTTTTTACAGTATACCTTTAATCAGTCTTAGAGCTAAAGATCACAGACATGATAACATATCCGATTTTCATCTGTCCTTTGCATACTACAATTCCGGCTCTTTAAAATTTCACAAAGAAAACATCTATTCCTGACACATTTTCTGTTCCATCAATCCATTGCATTTATTACTCAGTCCCAGTAAGGTCCTAGCTGTCACTAAGCAATAGATGGAGGTCCACCATGGGCAGGTTACACATTAACGTTCAGTCCCAAGGGCCTGAACATTATGTTAAAGCCAAATAATGTTAATGTTAATACAAATTAACATGCAATATTCTAACAGACAGGGCTCAAACTCCCAGTGATTCCAACCGTGGACCCTTTTGCTACTGCTACAGTAAAAGTGCTGATGCATTTTTTTATTCATATATATGTTTTTATCGTTTTGACTGTTTTCATACTTACATGCATAACCGAGTACAATCTGGGAAACCTGGGAGAACATCCCTTTTCACTCTCACAAACACACACACATACACATACACACAATCAGTTACCCAGAAACACACTTCTTTAAGCTCACAAATATCCTTGCTACCAGTGTTGTTGCTGCCGTTGGATTTTCTTGCTTGTTTGTTCTTTTGTCGTCCCTGTGTCCATTTGCAGGCGCTCCTATAGGTTCTACATCCCGATTATCCACCAGAAACTGTTACTTTTGTACAGATATAGCAGCTTGTTGTGAGGTTTTGTTGCCTTTCTTTTTCTTTTCTCTGCCTCTTTCTCTTTCTCCTTTTCGGGTTTCTTTTCGTTTGCTCTTCTTTTTTCTCTGTCAGGTTCTGCATTATTGGACACGTGTAAAGTTTTGTAACAAAAGTTATTAAAATAAAGCAGCATTGGTTAGTCAAGGGGACCTTTTCACCAACAAAGCCTCCCTTTGCAAATGCGTTCAGCATTGCCCGATACTCAGATTTCAGTTCTAGTGCCATAATGCTGAAAAAAAAATAAAGTAATGTAAAGTTGACAAAGATAAAGGAAAGAATCCAACAATAAATTAAGTTATGGAAATAAATAACATTTTTACCAGGGGCAATGGGAGGTAACAGGTTAATAACTTAATCAACAGATAAAGTTGACAATAAACAAAAAACCTAAATAATAAATTAATTTTTGGGGGAGGGCAAATGTAGAGAGATAATAGAAAAAGAGAAAAAGTAAATGGAATATAATCATTTAAAATAAATGAATGACCCAACCTTTTTTAAATAAATAAAATCAATAAAGGTCATCTGATCAAACATTAGATTATTTGAATATCAACTTTGACTTAAATGAAAGAAGAAAAACAGGAAGCCAACAACTTAAAACTTTTTAGTTGAAAATGTCTTATCACTGAAATGAAAAATACCCTATATATATATAGTGTCACTATGGAGGGTGATGTTTTGGTTTTCCTTCCTTTTAGATTGGCTCTTTGTTGGCCCTGTGATGGAGTGGTGAACAGCTCAGAGTATCACTTGACTGTAACAGGGAGAGGCTTCAGCTTCACTTTCACCATTAAGAAAATAAGGCACGTATAATGAAGAAATGTTGTTACTTTTTCTGTTAACAGCGCTCAAAATCTATTACGTTCAAGGCTTTATATTTGCTATGCAGATATCCAACATGTTTTTGTTTGCCAACTGTAAATAAAAGACAATAAATTTAATTAAATAAAAAAACAGAGATTTTAAAAGAAACATTAAAATGCAACAAATGGCATGTTTTCATTACATGAATGTGCACAACAATTTTTACCAGTCTCTGAACCAGCCTCTTCCTGCCCCTATAATAAGTGACATATCTCAGAATATTAGAATAAGGAGGAGAAGATGCAAGAAGTAGGGTTCTTTAAATGTTTATTTGGGCTTATTCGTGTTGAGTCTTTTTGTTTTTGAATTGTATTGTTCTTGTTTTTGTTCTTTTCACTGAGTTTTTTGCTTCAAACACAACAAACTACAAGATTTATTTGATTCAGCATCCTGGTGACAAAATGTCCTCATAAAAAAACAAAAAGGGTGTGTAATTTATGTATAACATTAGAAATTAATTTGAGTAGCATTAAACGTTACAATTTTAATTGCAACATTGGAATATATATTTTGAATATAATGTAATCAAATACTGCTTTGCCTCACACTTGCCACTTGCCTCACAGCAAGTGGGTTAGGTGCTCAAGTCCACAGGGGAAGCAGGACCTTTCTTTCATGGGACAGGTATGAAATCTCTGTGACCTGGTGGAGGATGCTTGATTTGGTAGACAAATATTCATGAAAAGTTGAAAGGCTTTGCACGAATGTTGACCAGTCTTGCTGACATGGAGACTGCCATCAATGCAAATAATCTTACAACACAAATTTGGGACATGAGTTTGGCCACGTCACACCCCTGCCCTCCCAAACACATACAATCTACGTTCATCAGTCTGAACCCAGTCCTTGAGGCAGATGTGCTCACCTTTTGTTGTGTAGTGCATTAAATCCAAGGTAAGTGCAAATTTTTATTTTTTGTAAATCATGCATGAGGAGAAACGAGACCCTCTAAGTGTTATAGACACTGTTGTTAAGAGTATCCCGGGAAGTATGATAAAAAAATATCTGGCTAACTTGGCACGATAACAATATGAGTGATAACTCATGAGGATTTTCTATTACAAAGTTATGTGTGTGCTCTTCTTGATGTTTCAATGGAGGCTATCAGATTTATGAAGTTCAAATTAGATATTCAACTTGAGAGACTGACAATTCAAAAGACTTTTCTTGAGATAAAGAAAAAACAGCCTGTGTTATTTTCAGAATAGGAAACAGACCGGTTCTGTGGCTCTATCAACGTGCAATGCACAGTTCATAAGTAATCGACTGGCAGTGAAGGCTCAGGGTAAGCATGATTTAAAGTAACTTTAATCAGGAAGTTATGTTTGGAGTTTTTTCTTTGCTAAAAGACCACAAGAGAGATTACGTTAATTCTCAGTTGTGGAGATATTTTTGTTGAAACAGTAGCATAACGATGGTAACCCACAAAAATGCTAGTTTTACTCACCCACGTCATATTTGGTGCCTAAAAATAGCTGTGTTCTAAACACAGGTAAATGATGTGGCAAGAGGCATACAGTATAGTTTGCAAAGTCTATACTGCCATTGATGTTGAAATAAGGAAGTAGCACAACAAAATGTGGTGAAACCATCAACTCATTTTTTTGTTTTCTACATGCAAAATAATGCAAAAGTTTGCTAACATAAATACAAGTCGCAATACTGTGAACAGAAAACAGATGGCTATTGATAAGTGTAATGAAAACTTAATATCCCATCATGAAGTCTATGACAGCAGACTGAAAAACCTCAAACTGAAAAGAATAATCTAGAACATTTCAGAATAAGGTACATGATGTATAAGCAATATATTATTGGAATTGTTTTTTAGGCTCTGTTAGACATTTGTTTACATAGATTTTGCATTCACACAAATCACACTTCTCAGACTTCTAGGAGGGTATACCAACTGACTAATCTACCCAAACAAGTAAAAATCTTCTTTGGAACAGAACTCAGAGATTAATTTATCACTAGCAAGCCTAGAAACTGAATTTATCACCAATATATTTTACCAATATATATTTGTGTTAAACTTCTTCTCTCTTTGAATGTATGTATTTCATAGACAAAATAATCTAATTTCAAAGGCCACTCCTTTCCTTATTGTTTTATTTTTTATTTAGTTTTTCATCCTGATTATTTTTTGCCAAAAGTCTTTCAGCCAAAGGAGAGGGAAGTTAATCTGTTTTTACATTGCATGAAGGCAAGTGAAATTAGTGTTTGGTGAAATAAGCATATGGGAAGTGTAAGTGTAAGATATTGTTAGGAATACCAGTTTTATCATGAACGATTACATGCATTATAAGGAATCTGTACCGTTATGCTGTTCTAAATCAAAAGATCAAGTGATCAGTATCATTACCCTGGGATGTCGGTTTTAATGAAAACATGTAAAGAGACCACAAAGACTGCAGCAACTGTAGTAAATACATATGTAATGAAAACGGAAGCTTTGAAAGTAATTGCATTTTTCAGACCATATCTGATGAGTCACAATAAAGACTTTTGGAGTCAGAAAAAAGTAATCATGTATAAAAATGTTATGCAAGGGTTTAAATGATAATGGGATTCGATGGTGATCAGATTTCACGCATTTTTCTTTATCTATGATACGAGTGTGTTTCTCTTTCCAGAGTAACAATGTGGACAAGGGTGTTTGTTTGTCTACTTGGATCTGTGCTTTTGTATGGGGTAAATATTTTCCCTCCTTCATTTTAAATTATTTCAATAGAGCAATATTCAACAGAGTAATATTTAATTTGTAATAAATAGAAAATACTTACTTGGCTTACTGATTTAAAAGTGATTTTATTTCATTTGTACCAAAAAATTAAGATTCTAATTCTTGCATTTGCTTATTTTTGTCCTTGTAGGTTGTTTCATCAGGTGAGGCACTTGCAAAAAATTCCAGTAATCCATTTGAAATCATTTCTGATTAAGTTTCTAACTTAACTCTAGGTGGAAAAATAAGCCTATGTGTTCAACTCATAAGCTGCAATCTACTTTTGTTTATTTATTTTGAAGATATTTACATTGCTGAACTGATGGTGGAAAGTAATGTCACACTGGAAGCCCAGGATATTCTGTCAAGTTGGAATTCATCTCTCAACCTTGAAGTAAAGGATACCAATGGAGAAGTACACAAAGTGACAATTTTGAGCAGAGAACTGGTCGCAGGTATATCATTTCAGCAGCAAAAAACTTTTTTTGGCTTCGTCACTCATGGAATTCTGGCAGATATTTTTCCCAGTTAGGTTTAGAGAAGATCATTGCACCAGCCTTTAACGTTAAAGGCTGATGCAACTAAGGCTAAAAAGGACATACAACTAAGGCTAAGTTTTGCCTGTAATGTCTTTGAGGAAGTCATAATATTACCTTGGCTGAACTGTATAGTGATATGTTGCTATTATTTATGATTTAAAAAAATGAAATAGATGATCTTATCTTTCTACTTTTAGCATAATCATCATGTTTTTTGTTTGTTTTGCTCTGAACAACAGTTATTGAATAGCAGAAAACATAATGGTCAAAATAACTAAGATTTGAGGTAATGTGTCTATATATTCTAATTCTGTTTGAATTTAGAGTAAATGGAAACCACACAGAGACAGAACTTAGTGACATGTCTTTTTAAAACTTTGTTTTTTGTTTTTCTCTTTAGAGTGTCTGATAATTGGTCAGGACTACAACTGCAACTGCTCTGCAGGGTATCATTGGAGTAATGAAGTGTGCTACACCTATGGTTGCTGTGATGACAATGCGTGCACAAAAAATGTGTCTTTCATGACACCCATCTGTGTTCAGAAATCCAAAGGTATTCATTCATTACGACTTATTTATCATTTATTTGATTCATTATTTGATTTATCTGATTAATTTTATTCTTAAATTAATGGAACGTTGAAAAGAGGAAAACAACATCAAAACAATTTTGTGCAACCTACACCTTTAAAGTGCTTGATTTTATCATAAGTCTGTTTGTTACATCTTGTTGATACCACATACAAACCTATGGGTAATATTTTATACCAACACAGTTACCATAAATGGATCAACAGAGGGTCCTTCTGACTGTAAAAACAAGGTATGCGATCTTTCTTTATAAATGATAGACACAAAAATAATGTCACAGTTTCACATCAGTCAAATATATTATAAATATATGTGTGTTTGTGAATAAACCTTTTATGTAATTTCTTTATTGGCTTTTTTCTTGTCAAAGCTTGAAGAAGAATTTCCCGCCCTAAATTCCCTGAAAGACATGAGGGTTATTCAAAGGTATTAAAATATATGAATGTGCTTGTTTGGTATTATGTAACCAAATATATGTAAATGTATGTAAATAAAAACATTACTGCACGTATAACTTTCCCAACAATATCATTAAATAAATGCAGAATAAGTAATCTGTGGTCTACAGTTTGGTCTACACAATTCTTTACCACAAGGGGGCAGATTTGAACAGTAATTCATTTTTTAAAATAATATTTTTGAAGTCTTGTAAAAAACAACACCAATGATTACATTTGTTTTGTCTATTTATTCTGGTATGCTCACTTATGTTTGAATGTATATATCTGACACGTGTTAAAAATTCACCTTGTTCAATATCTACTCCAAATTTTTATCCAGACTTTCAACATCTGGGAACAAGATTTGTGACTTTGAGGCAAATGTCTATGTCAAAATAAACACCTCTAAACTTAATGAGATTTTGGAAGGCCTGAAAACTTCCCTAAGTGCGGTGATTTTTGTTGATACTCAAGGTAAGTAAAATGACTTTAGTTTTAACCAACATTTGAATCTATTTTAAGAATTGCTGTAATTTAGCTGTGATACTATATTTTAAACCTTTACTCAATACCTACATAGTTGCATAGTACGAATTTGCATATACAGCCTTCTCTGGGCATAGGGAAAGATTTTTGTCTTGACTTTTTAAGGTAATTACTAAATTAATAAAGAGAAATGATCTCTTGGATATTAAAGTAATCACATCTTAATTATTTTGTCTTAAATGAAGTCGTTATACATGGCGCATGTGCTTTTCATTGTACATTGCTTATAGCACACTTTACATAGAACAGGAATATAATGTCAAATGTACTGCACTGTTGGATGATAGCAAAAAGCAAGAGCAGTTACTTTAATTTAATTTTAGTCTGCATTAAAGTGTTGATAGGATCAGAGAGAAAGAATGTTTCCATTGGCCTTTTTCACAGGAATGGTGACCATACAACCTCTTTCCAAAAGAGTAAAATACTTGTCTACACTGACATTAAAGTGCACATTTGAGGAGGCCACAGACAGAGCTGGCTGGAACCTGAGCAGACAATTTGAGCGCTTTGAGCTCAACTCTGGCTCACTGGTCACACTGAATTACAACTGCCCCACTGAAGAATACAAATCTTGTGTTGAAGTTAAGATTGTAAATGTGACAGGCATCTGGTCAGGTAAGGATAAAAGTTTTACCTTGTTAATATTTGCATAGCACATGGAAGAAGATTAAGCATCTTCTCAGCCTCAAGACTATGAAACCACCTTTTATTATTGTGTGTGATTGTGTCTGAGTGAAATAACTCATATCTTTGACTATTGGTAAATTGAGTTGATGTTTGACTTAACATAATTCTATAATTTGTCATGGTCCAGTTCAGTTTAGTCCACCTCACTGCTAACTCAACCACCCACTAAAATATAACAAATTAATACCCCACTTGACTGACAAATGGTAAGCTTTTCAAAGAACCTTGTGGTGATGAAATCCTCTGAATTGGCATTGATAAATGCACTAAAGTGTCATTCACTAAAAGCAAGATGACAATAGCAGCTAAATGTATGGAGATTCTGCATGTTGTCAAAGGAACAATACCAGAACAATACCAGTTCTTAGAAAAGTGATGTTCATTTGTTTGCGTCCATTGATTTTAAACATAAAGGAGGAAAGAACGTTGATACAGTATATGATATAATCTACCAACATGTTCCCAACAGGCACATATGAGTGCGGATTTACAACAGGGTCAATCAGGCACACAGCCAGAGTGAAGATGGATGTTTCTCCACTGCCAGATACTATCACCATGACAACAAAACCTCTGACTATCGACTGCACAGAGAAAAAACCCCATGAAATAAAAGCTATCACTAAGATTCCAGCAAACACAGAGACTTATCGCTACTGGTGGAGCTTCAATGGAAATAATATAACTGAAATAACTGAAGGTAAAATACTAAAAACAAATCCACATATATACATTGCAATACCACTTTCCCTTTTCTTTGTAAAATTACGTATAAACTGTATATCAACTCACAACCCTTACAGCTACTGGGGAAGAACCTCTAACTGTCAGCTTTAACATTACGTGTAAAACTGAAGACACAGAGGCAGTAGTATTCATCACTTTTATGAATGACATTAATCAAACGAAAAGAGAACGTTTGGAAATTCCCATGATCAGAGGTAATTATTACTTTATAGTGGATCTCCCTTTTTATTTCACGTTGTATTAGAAAGATTTTTTCACATTGAAATATTTACATTTAGTTTTCAGGAACTGAAGAGTTCAAGTTCATTAATCCCTTTTTCTTGTTTCAAGTTGGTGACAAAACTTGTGATGGAGAAACTCTCAATGGCATCCGATGGCCCAAAACTCCAGTTGGGTCAACTGTGATTAATAAAACATGTCCAGAAGGGAGAGTTGGATACAGGTCTCGATATTGTGATAACGGTCCTAAGTGGGCAGATGTGTACCCTGAATGTGTCTCACTGGAGCTGAACAAAGTTTCACAGGCAGCTGAGGTAAGTTTGGCATTATATCTTCTTCACCAACAAAATTACTTAACTAGTTACAAAGGAAACACTGAAAGGTGAAAAAAATGTTGTTGGTTTTACTGTCTTGGTACTGTTATCATAAGTGCTAAAGTCAAGTTACCTTTTTGCTTAATTTGCCTGCCAATTGACTACCGACTTTCTTAACATTTAAAGTAACAATTGAGAATTTTTGGTGGTGAGGCTTGAGTGTTCATTCTTGGAATCCTGGCTGGCTGCCTTTCAGTGTGGATTTCTCCCGGTTTATATGTGGGGTCTGTCTTGGTGTGTAACTGTTAGATTCTCTAGGATAAGTCAAAGAGCGAGCATGAGCATGCATTGTTTTATGTCTCTCTATGGCCCTGTCTTGGAATGGCAAAGCAACATCTTACTGTACTCAGCATCATGTCCAATGATGAAGATTGGTTGAAGAAGGTTTTAGATCTCCACTACTCTGAACTGTATTAAGCTAGAGTTGAAGACTCTAAAACAGTGAATATGCCCTTAGTTTTATGTTGAACAAATGCTGACATGCAAATCTTAGTAACACATCATCATTTTTTGCACACATTAAATGTTTGCGCATATTAATGCTGATTTGTTTATCTTTTTTTGTTTCTGTATCCTAGAAATTCTCGACTGGACTTGGAGCTACTGATGAAGTAGCAAAGGACATATTTGAAGGAATTAAAAACAGCTCTCAGTCAAGTTCTGATTCTAATGAAGATGTTGCTGATATAATAGCCTCTATCAACATTGTGGATACGATGGCCAAGGCCTCCCAACAAATTTCCCTACAAGAGGATGTCTTTCCTGTAAGTTTATGTACTTTTTCTTTACTACATGAAACATTCGGAGTTTGAATATGTGTTCTGGATCTCTCCAGAGTTAGAACAAATTCAAATAACATACATTTTACTCATACTGACAAAATTTATGTCTGATATACAAATGTAGCCTTCATGGGACGTTTTTAAAAATAATTCTGATATTAAAAAAAAATCCCACATTTTCATCGATGGCATAATCATCCCTTTTGATCATAATTAAGACTGTCAGTGACCACAGGAAACAAGCCATCTCAACTGGGTCAATCATAATGTAGCTATCATGTAATGAAAAGAAAATCATATATATTTTCCGCACTACGCTGGTTTTCTAAACAAAAGAGAGGAAGCAATGAACTGCTTTGAAATTGTGTAAGTTTAGAACATATCATAACACTCAAACCACCCACATAAAAATATTTTCAGGTGGAGGCTGATTGCTTTATAAATTAGTTAGAACATAACATGAAGAATTTTTCAAAGATGGTGTTTTTCTCTCATATTGAGTTGTTTGTAGTGGTAACTGATGACCAGAAAGCCCACTTAAAATATATAAGAACTTAAATACATTTTTGCTTTGAAATTCTGTTTCAGGAACTTGTTGATGCTGCCAGCACTATGTTGAACTCAAACTGGTCTGGGGTAAATGAAAGTACTCTTTATCAAATGTCATCAACATACCTTAAGTCTGTGGAGCATCTGGTGAAGAACATCAATGTCAACACAAGCAATGGATTCAACAGTACAAACTTAGACCTAAGATTCTGCTCAAGTAATAACTGTAATGCATCTGCATTTGACATTGGTGTGAATCTGAACATGACTAATGGGACTATGAAAGTCACAGCTGTGAAAAATCTAATGAATAAGTTAAAAAACAACTTCGATGACAGAGAGCCCATCAGCCTGTTGTTATCAGCCACACTTGTCAACAACAATGACTCAGACATTGGCATCAAACTGTCATTCCCCAGTGAGAGCCAAAGCATGGAGAAACATTTTTGTGTCTTCTGGCACACAACGAAAGCTGAATGGTCAGAGGAAGGATGTGTTGTCAGTGTCACTGCCAACTCTACAATCTGTGAATGCAACCACCTAACTTCATTTTCTGTCCTCATGGGTAAAAATGTGCCATCCGATCCCAACCTAACAATTATCACCACAGTGGGCCTTGCTGTGTCCATTTGCTCCTTGCTGATCTTTCTTTTTGTTGAGTTTCTTGTATGGTCAGCTGTGACACAGTCCAACCTCTCACATTTCCGTCACACAGCTGTTGTGAACATTGCTGTCTTTCGCTTGGTCAGCGATTGCATTTTCTTGGCGTCTTCTGATAAACTCTCTGACAACATGTGCTTAGCTTTTGCTGTATGTAAACATCTGTTTTACTTAGCCATGTTCACCTGGATGTTGTGCCTGAGTGTCATGCTTGTCCACCAGCTCATCTTTGTTTTCAGCCCCATACGGAAAAGAGTGTTCATGTTTCTGTCCAGTATTTTAGGCTATATTTGCCCAATTCTAATGGTGGGATCCAGCTATGTGTATTACAAATACACTGGGAGCGACTACTACGAAAAGAAAACATGCTGGCTACGATATGAAGATCTGTTGGAGGGTTCCATTCATGCTTTTATTTTGCCTGTGGGAACCATTATTTTGGCAAACCTCTTTTCCATGATGGTGGTCATCATTACTCTTGTGAAAACCTCAGTACCTGACAGCAGCAAGGCAAATGACAAGGAGACGGCCAAAAGCATCCTTAAAGTCGTTGTGTTTCTTACTCCACTCTTTGGAGTAACATGGGCTTTGGGCTTCTTTGTTTTCATCCTGGAAGGAGGCACTTTGCATACTGTTGTGAGCTACATGTTTGACATCTTAAACTCCTTTCAGGTAAGTTCACACACAGCTCAAGTCTCTTGAGATGCTTAGCTACAGGATTTCTTCCATATGATCACTTCCAAGATGAACCTCTAACACATTTCCAACACATAAGACATCTTGTTTGCAGACAAACTAACAATTTGTGCTACATTTATCAAGGTCACATGGGCTAAGATAATTTTGATTTGCAATAACATTGCTTTAGATGGATCACTGGTTGTTTGATCCAGCGGCAACACCTATCTGCTAAAAGTTTTGTGACAGCTTACTGTCAGCAAACAAACTTTACTTTAATTGAGCCAACACAATCTGTGTACTCATTTGTGTGGAACAAGGAGAGATATTTTTGTGTACTTTATACTGTTTATTAATCAGTATTACAATCAGTATTACATTGATAAGCATTTCTGCCATGAATAAACCATTCATGGCAGAAATGCTTATCAATGTACAAAAAGTCAATTAAGGATGACTTTGAAGAAAATGTAAGAAATGTAAATATAAGAAAATGTAAAATAATGTAAATAATTTAAATAATAATAATAATACTTTTAATAAATAATTTCAGATCTGTTTTTCTCTTTCAGGGGCTTTTCATTTTTCTAACTGGGTGCTTTGCAGAGCAGAAGGTAAATATTTTGTGTGGATATAGATGTTTGCTAACATATTCATTTGAGTTTTGAAAAATGTCAAGAACATGTGTACATGAACAAATTCACATATTGCTTTTATAAAATATCTCTCAATGCACTTATCAGGTCAGAGAGGAACTCTTTAGGATCATAAAGGTAAGTGTTTTCAACAAGAAATCTTTGTACTTCACCTATTAAAAGATTGAAACATGCCTAATCATTGTTGACATTGACCCTCAGGCAAAATCAGGACATCACGACAGTATGAAGAAACTGAGTTCAACTGCAACTAATACTTCATACACAAAGGATAAATGATGGTAAGTATTTAATAAAATAGATTATTCTTGTAGTTTATTTATTATGCAGAAAGGAAAAAACAATCTATAATCGTTTAATTACAGGCATATGGAGACCTTTGGTGTGCAGTCAGGCTCTTTCTTACTGTATTCGGACCTCCAAAAAGAAATCCATTCTCCATTCATTGCGGCAATCAGTGCAAAAAAAAAAAAAAAACTTGTGAGAATTGCTGCTTAAGAAACCACAGTGACAAGAAACCATTACTATTTGCCTAAGTGCACCTTCATTCCATCAGATAAATAAAATTGAGCTTTGTATCCATTGATTTTCAATTGATTTTAAATGAAGGCCTTTGGAACCGAGAAGATTATAGTCCTTTAAGGTCATACTGAATAATGGTCTTCACATGTCAGAGTTTTAACCCGCTTTTCTAAGCCTGAGCGCATTGCACTGATATCAAATTTGTGCTTGTCGTCCTGTCTCGGGGCCCAAGATACACCCAGTGTATTTTATTGCTGCAAGCTACAGGGAGAGATCATTTAATGATAAAATGTCTGTAGTCAATGGAATGTTCACATAATTTACTAATTTACGCTAGAACATTATTCTACTGAAAATTATTGAAATATAGTTTTTAGCACATTGCTCAATTTCTACTGTCTAGTGTCTCCAATGTGCTTTTATCACACACTGTCTATTTTCAATACAACGTTACTAGTTACAACATGCTCTTCTTCTCTTCGCTTCATCTCTTCTGGATGTCCCACTTACATCCACATGTATGGAGCTTACCCAACATCACATTTTTCACTGAACAAATGGATTTGATTAACATAATTTATTCTTGTCAGGTGTATTTAAACCTATAAACCACATTAAATGAAAAAACAATAACATTTCAATATGAATATATTCACTGCTGATCAATTCTGTTGTCAAAATCAAATTTATATTCTTTAATTTAACTGTTTCACAAGGACTGGGCCTCAAATGAATGTTGTTGAGTCATATAATTGAGTGTGATATTTTGTTTAATTTATTTGAATTTAAATGTTCTGATGCCATTATGTTTTTTGTTCTTTTAAACTTCTTTTTTTATTTTTCCAGTTTCCAGACTTCTGAGAAACAGTTATAGACCAAAAAAAAAAACACTTATTTGAGTTTGCATTGTGTTAGCTTATAAATCTTGTATTGGTAGCAACGCTGTGTTATGATTTGTCAGACAAGTCCAAAAATTAGAGAAAGCTTATTTAATTTGTATCCGAAGCTCATTTATTAGCTAAAGTTTATTTAACATAATTACGTTGTTGATTAACTTCAATAGCAGCATTAACCCTGACTGGCAATCTCAGGTTAAGTTAGTAGCACCTATAAATGTATGGTTTGAGCAAAAATTCTTTGATTATCTATTTTGATTGAGTCAGTGATGGTAGTAATCCAACAGGTTTAAGGAGAAACTCTAAATTATTTAATTTTCAAAACAGAAAAAAATTATTTAAAAAATGATATTTGTTTAACTGTTTTAACTTGACAAGTCTGTAAGTTTAGTTTCCCATTAATCATAAGCTGTACAATACTTGTTCAATTCGTGTACTGAAATAAAGATATTCTGAGATATTTATGTCCAATCTTACATGTTATATGTCAGAATCTATATAACAAACTGTATACATCAGTTTTTTTAATCATTACACCAATGAGCAAAACGTCTATTGTCGATTTAAGTTGACTTTTTGTAATTCACATGTTCTGTTTAATTTTAAGTAGTTGAAATATATTTTAGTTTGTACGGATCCATATTGAAATTAATTGTTTGGAATTAATATGATTTATTTGTTAATTTTTTAAGGTCCTCCCATTAATTTGGGAGAGTAAAACATGCAGGGCATGTGTGGATGAGGGGTTGTGGTTTGGTGGTGAATGTCAGGTATGATGACAGGTGGTTTGGAAACAATGATTTTTTTACCACGCCACACTTTTGTATTACTTTTCGATCACCTTTTTTATTTTTAAGCTGCATCAAAGTTAAAAATAAATTTTTGGTTATTATTTCCCTATAATTTTACAAGAAATAAAAAGGAAGTGCGTCAAAACCACAAATCACCTGTTGCCATCGACGGCCTTTTCTTTGTTGCAAGAAATTGGTTTGGAAATAATAAAAGGCCGTGACATCTATATATATATTATTGTTGTAGAGTTAATTGGGTTTTGGCCCATGTTTTCCAATTGTTGTTGACAAGTACAGTTTATACATCTGCTACTTCCTCCACTACTTCATACGAAATTCAAGTTTTTTCATTAATTTGAGGAACAACCTTGGATTTCAAAAGTTAATTTAAAAGTTGTCCAACAATACAATTCAATGTCAATTCAGTACTGGCATGATTTTTTTTATGTGAATACAGAAGAAACATAGATCCTTTAAAATGTCTTTGCCTGTACTCTCCTTGTAACAGTGAGAAGCGCCAGAGTGAGAACTACAGTCCCAGAGGCACCACCAATCACAGCTCCCAAGATGCCTCTGTCAATGTTCACTGTCTCACACTTCTGGCCAGTGTAGCAGGTGGCCTGACTCGTAGCACGCCTAAGACACAAATCCAAAATGAAGGACTTTTTCAAAAGTATGCTTTATTGCAACTTTACAGCACATGCTAAGACGTCATGATATTTTTGCCCAAAGTCTTGGGCTGTCTGGTTGTTATGATATTTATGAATAATCTCCTTTTAGGTTAAGGTTGTAAATGGTTTTGTGAAACAGGACATAACAAGACATAATATTTTTTCTTAATCATCAGAGTTGGCTTAAAGATTCGGTCCGGCAAAACATACATCCATACATTAAACCAAAATCTCAAAATAAGCTTGTACAAAAAAAAGTAAGCCCAATGATTCAAAAGCTCGAACAACCACCTGTTTTAAATGCATACTTCTAAGTACACGTTAAGAAAAGAAATTGGAGGAGCAAAATCACATGGAGCAAATACTGACAACAAACTAATTTCCCATGATGCAATAAAATAGTGGCACTAAAGAAGCATGAACAAAATCATGTTTTTTTAATAACATCAACAACCTTGATGTAAGTGTAACCCCTCTGTCATCTGCTGCTGGACCTTCTACACCTCTACTGACTCTGCATTGTGATTTTTGTTGTTGTTTGGTGGACTGTCATTCGGAGAGAAAGAAGCACCAGACAGGGGCTTGTGATTGTGGCTGAGACCATAGACTCAGAATGCGGCGTCTACGTATATATATACGTAGACGCCGCATTGGTCCGTTGCAGTGATACGTCAGCGCGTACGCCATCTTGGATGTGGCAGAACTCCCCGTAAACTAATAAAAGAAAACGGACTGAACCTCTAAAAGCACCTTTCTACAACAAGCTTTAAGTTAATGCATCTTTTTCACCCATTCACAGACACACTAATATATCTGGGAAGCAAATAGGCAGCAAAAAAACATATGTAACTTTTAAAGGGATGATTATAAATGTTTACTCCTGATGTTTAGGATATAGGAAGCACCTGCAGCATCTGTACTTTCAGCTACTAATGCACGTAACACTGTTACTGTAATAAAAATATTGAAATTGTCTATGATAACCAGATCCTGAAAAGTAGACATTTAGTTGACATGAGGGTTTTCGGAAAAAAAAGCACAAACATTTACATTTAACTGATTTTGATTAATCGTTTTTAAATTCACATGTATTATATACATATATATAATATTTAGTTACACAGTAAATATAGTAGTATATACTATATAGTATATATAGTATACTATATAGTATACTATATATATAGTATATATATATATGGAGAGAGAAAGAGAGCAAGAGAGAGAGACACAGGGGGATTCACGTTGATATACATACTGTCACAGGCCGGCTCAGTGCCCATGACAAAAAGGAGGGGAGACAAAACTGTATAGGCCAATCAATAGTTTATTGTAAAGTATGAGTAACTTGAAATAAATAAAACAGGGATGAGATGTGAGTATGTAAATATGTTTAGTGTGTGCAGTGTATGAGTGGGTGAACATGTATGTAGTGGAGCCCAACCTATAAAGTGAGCCCAAGTGGCTCCAATTAGTAAGACCCGCCTCTGCCTGCAGGAGGAACATACATACATACATACATACATACATACATACATACATACATACA